AAATTGCAGGCAGCCGGCAGTCAGCAGAAGTAGCCTTGAAGTACTGCAGTCTAACCATTATGCCACTATGGCTCATAACTGAATATTGAACTGCTGTTTTTTAAAAGTGTATCTTTCTTTTATTGGTTTTATTCAGGGGTGGGCTTCAAAAATTTTAGCAACCGGTTATCTGCCTGGTTGCTGGGTGGGTGTGGCCATGGTGGGCATGGCCTAGTCAGCCTCCTGCACCATGGTGTATGGGGAGGGTGTTTTCGCCCTCCCTGGGCTTTGGAGGCTTTCCTTGAGCCTCCAGGAGGGCAAAAATGGCCTCCCTGGGCTCCAAAGGCTCTCTGCAGGCTGGAAATGGGCCCATTTCAGGCCTTCCTGAACTCCTTGGAGGCCTGATTTTTGCCCTCCCTGGGCTCTGGAGGCTTTTCTCAAGCCTCCAGGAGGGCAAAAACAGACCCCGGGCTCCGGAGGCCCTTTGGAGGCCAGAAACAGGCCCATATCCAGCCTTCTGGAGCCTCTGGGAGGCCCATTTTTGCTCTTCTTGAGTCTCCACATGGGCCCTGCACTTACCTAGCATCCAAAATGGGCTGTGTGGAGACTCCTGGGATTGGCTGGGAGGGGCCAGTCAGTTCACCGAATTGGTAATTAAAAATGATAAAATTAGCTACCGGTTTGCCCAAACCGGTGCGAACCAGTAGAAGCTCATCCCTGGTTTTTATTGCCCTGCTTCTGCCATAAATAAGTTGCCTTTCTGGAATGGAATTTAAAGTACAATGCTTAACGAAGTTTAAAGTTGAAATGGAACATTTTGATTTGATTTGAATCACTTGATTTGAACAATTTTCAGCTTAGTAAGATCACACTTGGAATATTGCATCCAGTTTTGGTCACCACATTATGCAAGAAAGTTTTTGAGACTTTGGAAAAAGTGCAAAGAAGAGCAAGTAAGGTGATTGAAGGCCAGGAGATTAAAACAGTTGCAACAGGAATTGGGTATGGCTAATCTAGAGTAAAGAGGGACTAGGGATGACGTGATAGCAGTCTTCCAGTATTTGAGGGGCTGCCCCAAAGAAGGGGAGTGGTCAAGTTATTCTCCAAAGTAGCCCAGGGCAGGACAAGAAACAATGGGTAGAAGCTAATCAAGGAGAGAACCAATCTAGAACCAAGGAGAAACTTCCTAAAAATGAGGACAATTAACCAGTGGAATGGCTTGTTTTCAGAAATTGTGAGTGCATCATCACTGAAGGCTTTGAAGAAGAGACTGGACAGTCACTTATGTGAAATAGCTTAGGGTCTCCTGCTTGAGCAAGTGGGTTGGACTAAAAAACCTCCAAGGTTCCTCCCAGCTCTACTTTGAATTGAAATTGAAACTTTCCCTATACAAACATCCTCACTAATTGGAGATGCAATGAATCACATTTACTAAGTTTCAGGATTCAAACCAGCAGGAAAAAGGAAAATAAAAACAACCCCTTTCATTCTCCCCATTCCTTATCCAGAGAAAACATTTCTTCTTCATTAAACAAAATGAACACTTTGGTTCCAGGCACTTAGATTATTACAAAGCTCATTTCTATAATAGTTTGGAGCAAAATTATTCCCTATTGCATGAATCGCTATTACAGTTATGTACTTCCCAACAGTAGGAGCGCCCTCTAGTGTACAATAGCAGTCAAACATCCACATGCAATCAATCACATGTATTTTGTCAAGAATAACTTAATAAAATATTAATTATACTGTAGGTGTTAACTACCAACTGATGGGTATCTCAAAGGGATTGTCCCGAATGCTTTGTTCTTTTTTTTCTCTTTGAAATAAGATGATACATTAAAACATGAAGCTTCTTTGCACAGCACCAAATCTATTGTTCATTTTGCTTCCAATGTTGACTTATATTTCTCTCCAAGTCACATATGATCAAGCCTTCAAGGTCACCAAGGAAAGGAACAATAGTTACTTCAGAGATATTTTATTATTATTATTATTTATTTCTAAAGCTTGGCAACTTTAAGATAGGTGGACTGTCACTAAATGAACTTTGTAAGTCAAGGATTAGCTGTTCTAAACAAAATACAGGCAGAATGATTATAGCTTCTTGCTCACACGTTCTTCTTTCCCAAGAGTGAATAATTTGGGGGGAACCTTCTCCCTCCCCAATTTCATGCCTTCCATATCTCCCAGGGTTCCTTCATCCCTTCCGTATCTCCCAGGGTTCCTT